TAGGGGACAACAACACGGAGTCTGGAGTTAGATGGCCCGGCGTGGAGCCCCCCGCGCAGCCACGTCCTGGCCGTGTGACCTGGCCCACTGCTTCGACTTCTCTACACCTCGGCCCCCTCATTTGTAAGGTGGGCGGGATAGTGGTTGCGCCTGCTTTCAGGTGTGGTGGGAGTCAAGAAGATAAGGCGTGGCTGATGCTCAGCACTGGACTGGGACAGTAAGAAGTTGATAAATGTTAGTGCGAATTTTCTTGCCACGTAGACCACTGCCTCTGAATGGGTGGCATCAAGGGCTCTTCCGTCTGTGGCCAGGGTGGCCCTGCCCGTTCAGCCGGGCCCCCAGGTTTCCTGGAGCAGCTCCCCGTCCCCTGCAGGCCCGGGCCCAGGGCAGCTGGGCCTGTCACCCAGCTCTTGGGCTCTTCCTAAACTCCCGGACCTGAGGTTTTCCCCCACCCCCACACTCCAGGGTGCCAGCTCCTGTTCTGGGCCAGGAGGGGGGCGAAATACTCATCCCCATGAAAGGCTGACGGGCCTGGGCTGGGCCAGTAAACGGCCCCACCCTCCCTGGGAGGACCTCCAGGCACACGTGTAAACTGAGTCATGGGGGGCGAGGGGGTGAGTCATGCAGTCTGTGAGTGGGAGCCAGATGGGGTAGAGTTTGCCTGAGTGGGGCCCTCGGCCATCCCTCGTGGATCCTCAGTTCCCCTCTACCACCCAGCAAGTCCCTGCAAGACTCACGAGTCCACCTGGGGCCTGGGCGTGCGTGCCTGAGTGTGTGGTGTCGGGAGGGGAGAGGCAGACAGGAAAGGGAGGCTCCGACCGGGAGGAAAGGATTGGGGTTTGGAAAGAAGTCAGAGTCCCAGAGAGGAAAATTTTGGCGGGAATGCTTCATTGCCCTCTCCTGGCCTCAGCAGGTTCAGCTGATTCGCACATCCCCCGCTCCACTCCCTACCCCCCACTCCCCAACCCCCCCCCCCCCCCCCCCCGGCCTCGCCCCGGCCCCAGGAGCCGGCTTTCTCCCTCTAGCCTGGGAGGAACCAGGGCCCAGAGGGTGGCATGTCTGTCTTCCGGGGTTCCCAGGAGCCAGAGCTGCTCAGCGACCAGGGATGCAGCTCTCTGTCACAGCATTCTTGAGTCTTGGAGGCCACTGGAGCATTTCTAGCCTTGACCATGGCCACATTACTCTGTTGCAGTTTTTTTTCTCAGTAATAGGAGGGCAGTGAGGGCCAAAATGAAAGCAAACTGCTTAGAGTAGCGCCTGGTGCAGAGGAGGTCTGTGTACATGTTTGCTCTTACTAAGCCTCAGATTTTTCATCTAAAAAAAAAAAAAAAAGTGCAGGGGCCCTGGCTGTTATGGCTCAGTGGACTGAGCACTGACCTGAGAAGCGAAAGGTCCCTGGTTCAATTCCCAGTTAGGGCACAGGCCTGGTTGTGGGCTAGGTCCCCAGTGGGGGGCGTATGAGAGGCAACTGATAGATGTACAGTATCTCTTGCACATCCACGTTTCTCTCCCTCTTTCTCCCTCCTTTCCCCTCTCTCTAAAAATAAATAAATAAAATTAAAAAATGCGTGTGGGGAGGATGCCAGAGGCGCCCCTTGTCCAGATGTTGCTTGGGTCCCGGTCCCCAGGGAGACTGCTGCCCATGCCCTGCTGCCCTTTCCAACTCTGTCCCCGTGTCGAGCCTGGGGCATTTTCATGCCCTGCTGGGAGGTCGGTGTCAAGGAAAGATGGGTTTGATGGGTTTGATGGGTTTCCGAGGCAGGTGCCCTGAGGTTACCCCTCACTGTCTGTTAGTGTCTGGGGGATGCATGTCAGAGAAGTGGGGAGTTTCCCTCCTTCGATGAATCAGCTGTGTGACCCAAGCCTCGTCCCTGCCAGGGCCCCTCCCAGCAGGCAGGAGTGGGGCGCAATTGCCCTGCTGGGAAAATCCCCAAAACCTTGCCAAAGCTCTGGCTGAAGCTTTCTTCCCATTCAGCTGTTTCTTGTTCTCCCTGATTCAGCGTCCCAGCTGTGATCGGGAGTTAGACAAAGAGTTCTCCCCATTCCCTGGCCAGCTCCTCTTGAGCCTTCTCCCTGGGGTTTGGGGGTTCACAGTGCACGTGAGAGAGAGAAGGTGAAGTGTCAGGGTGTCTCCCATCTCTGACCTCTGTCATCCTTCCTGTGGTTTCATCAAAGGGAGTAGAGCACAGAAGCTTGTCCAAATTTACCCAGCCTAGCCCACCCTGGACTGGGCCACTTCCTTACTCCCATGGGAGGCGGCCAGCTAGACGGGGGCCGCATGCTATCAGCTTGAGGGGAGGGGGCTTCGGGAGTCCTCAGCCTGGCGGGAGAGCAATCCCCATGGTGGGCCCGGGAGACCCTCCCTGCCCCGCCTGGCAGGTTTAGTCACTGTGCTGTCTGGGCCTCAGTTCTGCCACCAGTAAAATGGGAATTTTAAGTCTTGGCCCCACCCCTCTCCCAGGTAGTTCTGAGGACCCAGCCTGTGTGCTTTATAGATCAGGTCCTAAGTGCTTGCTGGGTCTCGCTTACCTTTGCAGCCCCCCAAACACTTCCTTATAGTGGGGTTTCAACAATGTACCGACGCTCTGCTTCGTGTGGCTTTGTAACTTTGAACCAATTAATGAACCTCTCCAGGCGTCAGTTTTCTCTTCTGCAAAATGGCAATAACAATAGGGCCGGGTGAGGCTTAGATGAGATAATGCACATAAACACTCAGCACAGTGTCTGGTTCAGGCTATGAGTAGAATGAAGAAGCAGGCCCAGGGGCAGGAGAGGCTTTCATTCGATCACGTATGTATTCAATCATGTTGATGTGGTACTTGTGCTAGGCTGAGGTCCTATGCTGGACACTGAGGCCACCCTGAGGGATGAAGTGCAGCTGCTGTCCTTGAGGGGCCCCAGACACACAGATGAGCGACACGGGGCGGGGGGAGGGCTTGTCACGAGAGCCTGGGGCGCAGGTGGGTGGGGGAGGAGAAACCGTTGAGGAAACGAGCTGGTGGGTGGTGGGTCTGAGGAGTGGGGTCAGCCAGGAAAGCAGGAGGTCAGGTACATGAAGCAGAAGGGAGAGGGCTAGAAAAGGCACCAAAGGGAGAAAGAGCGGAGTGTGTGTGCTCAAGAAAACCACAAGCAGCTCATGATTCTGGAACAGGAAGGGGGCAGCGGAGAGTGGAGAGATGGGATGGGAGGGACTGCCAGGCGCCGGGTTTGAGCTGCTCCCTCATTCACTCATTTAATAATTTACGGGGAGGTGGCTCTAGCCGAGCACTGTGCTAGGCTCTGGGAATAAGGCTGAGATTCAGACACTGGTCCTGCCTCACGGAGGCCACATTCTGGACATGTGGCTTAGGGGCCAGTGGGAGACTGACATCAACCAAGTGGTAACATAAGCGACCTCCCCCTCCTTGCTGCATGACAGGTGCTCCAGCGGAAAGAACAGCCGGAGGCTCAGGGCTGCGTGCCAGGGGATGAAGGAGCTGCCAGTTGGCTCCGGTGGGGTGAGCATGGGTGGAAGGGGGCACTGGGCGCTGGGGCAGTTGGTGGGGGGGGGGCTTGCTCAGGCGAGTGGACTCTATGTTACAGGCTGGGGAGCCCCAGAAGGGCTTTGAGTAGGAGCGGGTAGCCCTGCGGGAGAGCTGGCTGTGGAGGGACAGAGGAAGTGGGAGGGGAACGGGGCAGAGCAGACAAGCTGCAGTGGTCTGGGGTGAGGGACGGGCTGAAGCAGGGCTGTGAGGGTGGAGAAGGGACGAGTGTGTGAACTGCTCAGTTATGGAGAGAGAACCAGGTGGTGTTGGCACCACTCAGGCATCTTCGTAGGACCCCCGAGGGCCTGGCCAGCGTCCTCACGAGCCTTGGCCCACTTTGGCCAAGTGCAAAGCACTGAGGTCTGAGAGAGGCAGGGCACCATGCTCCGGCCTGGAGACCACCCAGCTCTGGGGACTTCCCGGGGCTGGGCTAAGGGGGGACTCAGACCTGGGGAAGCTGAGGGTGGGGAGGAAGCTGGGGAGGGGGCCACGCCAGAATCTCATGACTCATCCACTTCCACCCAGTCAGCGTGGTGGCATCTCCGCTCCCCTGCTCCAAATTCCGATTTGGTGAGGCTGCTGGAGGCTGAGTCAGCTCCCGCACGAGAGCAGCGTCCCAAGGGGCTTCCTGCCAGACAAACCGGCCTCCAACCAAGGCCAAGGCCAGGGGTTGGGAGGGTGCAGAGCCGGGTTCTAAGGCTACAACAGCCTCAGCCGAGTGGGATGGCCCAGCGGATCATGTGAGTGAATGTGTCTGGTGGGCTGCGAAGAGCTCCCTGTGGGCGAGGCCAGGGACCACGTTCTGCATGGGGAGGAGGCAGGGAGCCGGGTGCAAGTCCTAGCGCCGCCTGGCCCTCCGCACGGCCCTGAGGGAACTCCCTTCCCCTCTCGGCTTCAATTTCCCTGACCACGGAAAGATGCCGACACCGCCTTTAAACAGGCTGTGAGAATTAAATAATACACATTCAAGCGCTTTGCAAATTGCCCAGCGGCCCCTGTGACAGTCGGGGCGGTGGAGAGGCGAGGATAAACGGGAGGGCTGCCCAGGCCGCTCCTGGTCGTGTAGGCTGCCCACAGCGCAGGCACGTCCCGCCCATCCATCCTCTCTTCACCAGACCTTGTGCTCTGACTAGAACTGCCAGGACCAAGAGGGCACCTTTCTCTAACAGGTATGACAAATACACCCCATGGACTGATAGCGGCCCCTTGGACTTTGTTGGGCCAGGCCCCTGGATTTATGGGAAATCACTGAGAAACTGATTCGGGTCCTCGGGCTGGAGGGAAAGCAGGGCCGGCTTTGCAGTGACTCTCAGAGGTTCCCGGCCTTGGCAGCGAGCTGTATTTTCTTACCGGGGGAGGCTAGGAGGGCCTAGTCAGGGCAAAGGGGCTGTCTTTCCTAGCCCTGCCTCTCCGCAGCAACCAAAGCCGGTAACCACCAACACGGTACTTTAAAAAACACTCCAGACACGGACCCAAGCTGGGTTTTATTGAAATGCCAAGAGCAGGCACATGACAAGGTAGTGAAGGAAGGCAGGAAGGCGGTGCAGGCTGTGAGGTGACAGGGACAGGCAGACCCCATGTCCATGGCCCTGGCGCCCCGTCTTTGCCAGGGGCTGAGTGGGTACAGTCATTGCCCCATCTAAAACAATGGCATGCTCAGGCCTGCAGGGCCTCTGCACCCTGGACCGTGAAGGCTCCAAGGACAGGGACTGGAAGCACTAAGTTTCCCCTCTTGTGAGGGACAAAGAGAAGGTGGGGGATGCAGGAGGGGAAGGTACACCCAAGGATGAGGTGGCCGAGGAAGGTTCTCCTCCTGGGTGTCTGCACCCAGACTGAGGTCCTGGATGGCAGAGGGGAGCAGCAGCAGAGAGAGGCTGAGGGTCCAGCCCTCAGAGAGCCAGAGCCTCCAGAGGATGGGGACTTGAGTCAGCCCTGAACAGAGGGCAGAAGTTCAAGGGGAGTGAAGATGCAGGGGCGTTCCAGAGTGACCTAGTCCTCAAAGCCGGGGGACTTGGCCTCGTTGGGACAGGGAAGAGGCAGACAGGAGGATCCATCCCTAGCAGGGGACGCAGAGGGCGGTCTTCCACATGTCGCCCTACTAGGTCAGTTCCACATTGTTGGCGCGGTCCAGCACACGGGAGCCACGGGCACTGCCCCCGAGCTGGAAACGGCTCTCATAGAGAGTGGGGCAAAGGTGCCAACGGTTGGCCCGGTAGATGCCTAGGTAGGTGTAGACGTCAGGCTTGTAGGTGAGCAGGCACTTGATGCCTGCTGCGCGGATGGCCGCATCTGCCTCCAGCACGCCCAAGCGGTCCGTGAAGTCGTCCGTGTAAACACAGATGACCTGGCGCCCCCCCTCCTTGGCCCGTGGGCTCACCTTGGCCACCTGAAGCCGGCCCTCGACCACAGCCCGAGCAATGCCAGCCCAGGCGTGGTCCAGCTTGAATCCAGGTGCCAGGTGCATCAGCCACTTGCCTGAGAGCACGTGGTGGGTGATGGCCAGCTGGCGCAGAGTAGCTGGCGTGATGGGCCGCCCACTGGTCTGCAGAGCCTCCCAGGCTGCCTGCAGGCCTTGCACGTCGCCGGAGTTGGGGCTGTAGCCCTGCCCATATGCTGCAATCCAGCCCACGGGCTCAGAGTTGGGTGAGCTGGGGTCTCCGTAGCGGGTAACTTGGGATGGTGGGTACTTGGCCAACCAGGCATCCAGCTCGGAGGCAGGTGTGGTGCGGGCATCAAACACCAACCAGGGGTCCATGTCAGCTGCCATGGCCTCGGCGGCCAGGTGCTCAGCAGTGAAGCCATCCTCGCGGCCGCCTGGAGAGTCCTCCTCTTCCAGCTCCTCACCTGGCTCTATCCTGCTATGAGGGAACCTGCTATTAGGGTTCATAGCAAATCTACCGCTTGCTGGGCCCTAGTGGGTGCCAGGAACCAAACTAAACTGTGTGGTTTTTGGCAAGGCTACACGTCCCTGTGCCTGAGTTGCCTCGTATTTACAACAGATAACAACTGTTCCTGACTCATGGTGCTGTTGACAATGTTATTTCTACTCTCCCTGACTTACAGAAAATGAAGCTCGCAGAAAAGAGTCTTACCCAAGGTCACACCTATAGGGAGCGATGGAGCCGAAATGTTAATTCAGGTGTGGGAGCAATTGGCCCAGCTACCCCTCCTGGCCCCGCCAGTGTCTGGCAGGTATCCCGAACGCTGGCATTTAAATGCAGGGAGGCGAAGGAGCCCTCGTTCGCGCAGCACAGAGGGAGGCCCTAAAGGACCAGGCCTCCCGGGCGGGCGTCATCCGGACCACTTAAAAATGAGAACACTGAGACCCAGAGAAGGCAATGACGGGTCCGAGGCCAGTAGCGCGATGCTCAGGCTCGAACTCAGGCTTGTGAGAGCCTACGGGAGGGCCGCGCCCCCGCTATTAGCGCCCACAGCCAGAGACTGGCCCCCGTCCGGTCCTGCCCCCTCCCGCCACCCAGCCGTCACCTTCGGCCTTCGCTGCGCTCAGCACCGGTCCAGCTCCGAGCCCGGCTCCGCTCCTGCCGGGGCTCCGTGCCACCGCCTCCGCCGCGCCCCACCCCCGCTACGGCTGCCGCCGCCGCCGCCATCTTAGCGCCCCGCCGCCTCAACAACAACTTTATAGACAAGCGCAGCACGGGGCGGGGCCACCGGGCCCCGGTCGCCGCGGGGCGGGACCTGCCAGGGAAGAGGCGGGGCCGGGGGTGGGGCTGACCTCAGGGGCGTGGCCAGAGGGAACCCGGGAGGGGCGGGCCTCCGGGAGGCGGGGCTAACGTTCGCTCTTCAGGCCCGGGGAACGAGCAGGAGTGTCGGTGCTGTCACGGGCCGACGCGCACCGCCTGGGAGGCTCCGAGGGAGGGCACTCAGGCCCTGTGAGCGGTGTCCCTATCGGCGGCGCTAGGACCCCGTGGGGAGCGGCGGGGGCGGAGCGGGCGGCACCAGGACCCGGGGGAACCTCGGCGGGTAGGCGGCGAGCAGGCCCCGGGGCCCGGAGGCTGCGGGCGGCGGCGCAGGGCCCGGCGCGGCGAGAGTCCCGGAGATGCCGAGCAAGAAGAAGAAGTATAACGCGCGGTTCCCGCCGGTGAGCACGTGGTCGGAGTCGTGAGGAGAGGGTCCGGCTCCCGGGAGGCTCGAGCCCAGGCCCTGCTGGAGGGCGGGCGCATCGCAGTGTTCGGGGGCCCAGACGCCCCGCCCCCTTCCCTGCCCTCCCCGTATCGGTGCCCCCCGCCCCCTTTCTCCCCAGATACCCCCTCGCTTCCCCAGCACTCTTTTCTGGGATAGAGACGACGGGGTCCGAGCTCTCTGCTTCCTTCCCAGGCGCGGATCAAGAAGATAATGCAGACGGACGAAGAGATTGGAAAGGTGGCGGCGGCTGTGCCTGTCATCATCTGTATCCTGTCAGGGGCTGGCCGAGTGGAGGGAGGTGGGGGAGGGAAGCAGCCCGGGGTTGCCCGGTGCGGGCTGGGGCCCCACTCCTGCGTTCTCCTTGACGCCCCGAGCCCGGGCGCTGGAGCTCTTCCTGGAGTCGCTTTTGAAGAAGGCCTGCCAGGTGACCCAGTCCCGAAACGCCAAGACCATGACCACATCCCACTTGTAAGTGGCCGTGGAGATGAAAGGGCCCTGTGGGGCTCTGCCCCAGAACTTCACACACTTAAGAGAGGCTGTGCCCTAGTCAGGCCCCAGGGCCAGGAGGCTGCAGGTGGGAGACTGCCCAGAGATCAGCAAGACCTTAGAGGTTGGAGGGTTTGAACTTGGCGAGAAGGGGTTGGGCGTTAGAGCAAAGAGGCGAGGTCTGATGGTGGAGATGGGGTGTAGGTTTTCCGAGTTCCATTCCTCTGACATCCAGAGCTCCTCGCTGCCCATTGCTGGGAGCCCAGACGTCTGGGCCCTGCCAAATGCCATCCCCTCCCCACCTCTTTCAGGAAGCAGTGCATTGAGCTGGAGCAGCAGTTTGACTTCTTAAAGGACCTGGTAGCATCCGTGCCTGACATGCAGGGGGATGGGGAAGACAACCACATGGACGGGGACAAGGGTGCCCGCAGGTGGGGAGCCAGGGCCAAGTGTCCAGGTGTAGAAGGCCAAGGCCAAAAGGGTTGGAGGTGGCTGGGGGTGGTGAAGGAGCAGGGAGATGGACTGTACCTTCCCAAAGGGGCCGGAAGCCAGGCAGCAGCAGCCGGAAGAATGGTGGGATGGGAAGCAAAGGCAAAGACAAGAAGCTGTCGGGGACAGATTCGGAGCAAGAGGTGAGTGAGGCCCGCAGCCCTCTGTTCTGGCCCTCCAAGCTGGCTGGAGGCCTGATCCTATCCTCATCCGTGAGCTCAGTTTCTTTGTTTGTAACTGGGGGCTGTGGAGGTCAACCTCCTGTCCCTGTCCCGGGAGCTAGGCTTTCCAGTGATGGGCCCATGCCTTTCTTGTCTTCTCTGACCTCTGTCTTGCTCCCAGGATGAGTCTGAGGACACTGACACTGATGGGGAAGAGGAGACACCGCAGGCCCCACCCCAGTCCAGCCACCCCCCTGCCCACTTTCAAAGGTAAGCAGCTCAGTGGCTTCAGGAGGGGCCAGCAGACCTCTTCTTCCGCCCTCCCTGGCCACTTGCTTTTGCCGGTTGTGGCAGATTTGGGGAACGGGGAAGGAGAAACTGAGGAGGGCTAAGGACAAGAGGCTGTGTTCTCAGATGATCCCTCCCGTCCCCTGGAGAGGGCAGTGGATGGGGCTTGGGCGGGGCTGTGGGACCTGGGCCTGGCCCCTGCCTTTGGTACAGAGGGTGGTGGGCTCCATGCTGCCTGTGTGGAGGGTGGAGCGGGGCTCAGGGGGTACTGGAGAGTGACCTGACCTGCTTCTCCTGCTTTCTGCCCTGCAGCCCCCCAACACCCTTCATGCCCTTCACCTCGACTCTGCCTCTGCCCCCAGCACCCCCGGGCCCTTCAGCACCTGATGCAGAGGACGAAGAGGATTATGACTCCTAGCGCCCTCCACCCCCCAGGCCACACCCCCTTTTAGTTGATTTTAGTTGTTCTGGGGGGAGGAGAGCTGTTCTTAAATTTATTAAAAAAATAAATAAAAGAGAACATGAGTGTCTGTCCCAGCCTATGTCCAGGGCTTTGTGGCCACCTTCCTATCCATCCACCTGACTTCCCCGCGCTGAGCAGCGGTGGGCCCAGCAGCTGAGTGAAGGGAGGGGCTGGAGTCCAGGGATCTGCCGGGGCAGGACCAGGGGTGCTGACTGAGGGCAGGTGGGCGGAGCAGAACAGGGCCCGAGCCAGCAGCTGCCTGTCACGCGGGGGACAACCTGTACAGTGTGTGACCCTGGGCATGTTCCTACCCTTCGCTGAGCAGCCTCTCCTTGCCTCTCTGATAGAGACCTTTCTGCTCCCGTGGGCTAGTGCATAGGATCAGCAGGACAGTAATAGGGACTGTAGGGCCCCGGCTGGTGCCAGGAGGGGCAGTGGGAGCGGCGGCATGTGAGATTGTGGAGGGCCTTGAGGGCTGGCTTGTGCCACGCAGGGCATGACACAGTCGCTCAGGCTGTGCCTGTTTCTCAGCAGGCCCCAGAGCTGCTGCGGCCACGAGGCAGATGTCCTTTCAGGGGGCTGTGGCTCGGCGAGGCCGGGCAGGAGGCCTGGGGAGCAGCGGACAGACTTGACATCCGGTTGGCAATGGCTCAAGCACACAGGTGGCTGACTGGCTGTTGGCTGAGAGAAAGGGGACCCTCAAGGACTCTCAGGCTTCTTTCAGGGGCCTTTTCTGGCTGGGAACAGAGAAGGAAGAGCAGGGTCAGGCCTGAGGATCCTACGTTTAGCTCTGAGGAATCTGGGTGCCCGCGGGGCTGCTGATGAGGGGTGTGGAGCGGGCCCTTGGACGTGGGCCCGGAGAGGAGCGGACCTTGCTCTGCGGAGAGAGGGGCAGTCTACCAAAGGGGGCTGGAGAGCGACCGCTGGTGGCGCCCGCCCGGGGCTGCTGGGAGGCGGGAGAGGCCAGCTGAGCGCCAGGGCAGCTTGCAAGCTTTCGGGAAGCATCGGCAGAGCTGTCTCGGCGGCCTGGTGGTTGGTGAGGTGGTAAGGAGAGTTGGAGGTGAGAAGCTGAGGTGAACAGCAGCAGCAACACTTCTCAGAGCTGTGGCAGAGATGAGAGCAGTGACCCAGAGCGGGGAGGCAGGGAGGGAGGTTTTGTTTCTCTTTTTCCAGACAGCAGAAATGCAAGCCCGGAGTGGCAGGGGGCGGAACGGACAGGGTGGGAGGAAGTGGTGGAGTGCGGTGGGGGTGTCCGAGGCTGCCCCGTCCTGAGGAGGGAGGGTGTAGTGAGCAGGTTTAGGAGGCAGGATTGCGGCACTGAGATTTTTAGCTGAGGTGTCTGGCTTCTGTGAAACAGGAGGCTGGCTGCTGGCCCGGGGCTCCTGGCTGCCTCTCATCTGCTTGCCCTCCGGCTACAGCGTCCCCCCACTTTCTTTCAGGGAACCATCTCTCCTCTACTCAGCCTGCGGTGTGTGTCGCAGACCCCGCTCCCTGGGGTTCAGGGACGGGAACATGGCACCAGCCTGGCCAGTCACAGTGCCACCCAGGCTCTGGTCACAGTGAGTGGTGCAGGCAGGTCGTGACCCCTGGGATGTGAGGTGGCACCATTGGGAAAGGGTTTTGACGTGATTGCTGGCTTCTCTGTGGTGTGGGGGACAGCAGGAAACCCTCTCAAGAGTCCACATGAGGGCGGTGACCACCCTGGGGTAGCAAAGCTGGCGCAACGGAGGCTGGGCGCTGCCGGAAGCTGCTTCTGACCCTGAGGGGCGATCCTGACTGAGGACAAAGCCAGCACAGTAGCACCAGGAGGCTCGGAGTCATGATGTCCAGTGACATCTGACCACCTGCTTGAAGCCTGTGTGCCTTAGGCTTCTTGGTCACGTGAGCCAATAAACATTTCCCCCGCTTAAAGTCATCTGGGTTTCTGTCCCTGGGAACTGAAAGCTCTGACAGGGACCAAGAATGGGCGGTCCCCATTGGCCCCGGAGCAGGGGTGGTTTCTCTAACACTATTTTCTAACCTAGGGGAGGTGGGCGCCTGGGCCCACAGAGTGGAGAGCGCGCCAAGAGGCTGTGACGAATGGCGGGGGTGGGGTGGGAGAGGAAGAGACCCCGCGAGCCCGTTGCTGGAGTCTGTCTGTCTGTCTGTGTAAAAGGAGACATTCTGAACTGAGAGGGTGCGGGATGACGGGGACGGCAACTGTGGGAGGCGAGAGGCCAGGGTGCAGGGAGCCCCTTCCTCCAGGCAGAAGTCTCGAGGACACGTGGGTGGGGGTGGGATGGCCGGGAGCCCTCTGCTCTCCGCCCGTTGGTTCAGCCTTGGCAGAATGCTTATGAGTGGAACGTCTAGAATCAGGCCCGGGGTTCAAATCCTGCCGTTGGCACTGGTAACCTCCAGGTCTGTAGATTCTCTGTGTCAGTCTTCTCATCTGTAAAATGGCGCTAGTTATTCCCTATGTTAGTTACATATATTATACATCCTAGTTATACCTATTACTTAGGGCCAAGGGCTGATATAACAAACTCAAAATACCTAGGCTCAAATGCCATGGAAGTTTATTTCATGCTCATGGAAGGTTCATAAGGGATTGATCTGATCATTGGGCACTGCTTCTTCAAGAGGGGCTTGAAGGCCCAGTCTCCTTCCATCTTATGGCCTCATCATCCTCCACCCGTGACTTCCAAGGTCACTGCGGAAGGGGAAAGCTCAGAGCCCACGGAAGTTTTTCTGGGCCGGGGCTAACGGTGACCCATTGGGCCTGTCACGAGGCTCCATCTGGGGGAGGTTAGGAAAGGTGGTGTAGCCCACCCGGGTGGCTGAGCGGCTAGTTTCTGCTGCAGGGCCTCACAGGCCCTTGGGAAGCGCCTGACTCAACCTTGGCCAAGAGCTAGGAGAGCGGCCTCCTGGTCACAGGACAGGGGCTTGGGCAGACAGTGCTCCAGGCTCGACCTGGCCTCTGGGTGCCTCCTGGGAGTGGGGAAAGGTGGCCCTGCTCTGTGGGCCCCCCTGGCCTGCTCGGTGGGCACTGGGCAGGGGCGGCCTGTGAAACCCCATCTGCAGAGCTCCACCTGGGAACGTGGTGAATTTATTGCCTATCCATCGAAGAGCTTTGAGCCGCACGCCAGCTTGAATCTGAATGCCTCAGCCAGCCACACTGGCCGTAGGGTGCAAGCGTGACCCGTGTGTGAAACGGGGCAGCTCCTGAGGCCAGGGTTGGGGTGGCGGACCCTGACCTTCCATGTGAAGGGCATCAGCCCGCCGTCCCTGCCAAGCCCGTCACCCGCCCCCTGAGGGCTCCACAGCCCACCTACGCCCGTCTAAGGGCTCAGCCAGCAAGTGTGTATTGAGCACCTAGCACCCTCACTCAACAGGGAAATGAGGTGCCCCATCACCCGCCAGAAGCCAGGAACTAAGAAGTCAAACCTCACCAAGTGCTGGAGAGGAGGTGGCAACTCCCAACTCACACTGCTGGTGGCAATGTCAGATGTCAGTTGGTGCCACCACCTCAGAAAACAGTTTCTCATTGAGCCTATTGACATATGCTTCCCCGTGACACAGCAGTCCCACTGCTAGGCACATGTCCACCACCAGACGCGAATGAGAACGTTCATAGTCCCCAAATGGAAACAAGCCAAATGCCCATCCCCAAGAGCGTGGATAGATCAGGGTAGAATGCTGTGTAACAGGACAGCAATAAAGAATGGGCCAGTCTTACGTGCAACATCATGGGTGAATCCTGTAGATGTTACGTTGAGCAGAAGAAGCCAAATATAAGGGTACACAGTATGATAGCGTCCATCTACATGAAGCTCAGGGACAGGTGACACTAATTCATGGTGATGGAAGTCAGTATAACACTTACTTCAGGGGGTGGGAGTAGACTGGCAAGAGGGAGCTTTCTGGAAATGTTTTATAATTTGAACTGAGTGGTGGTTTGATATAAAAAATATTAAGCTGCACACTTAAGATGTGTGCACTTTTATGATAGCCTCATAAAATTTGTATTTATCTTTCTATTGAGACCCATTGTACAGCAGGCACTTCTAGGTAGTGGCGATTATGGGAACAAAGTGTCCTTGGGGTTTGTTCCTGATGGGGAGAGACAGGCAATAGAGAAATGAAATAGGATGATACGTGCTCTGGGGAAAATAGAGCATAAGAGGCAGGAGTGGGGAGCGCGGCCCCAGCCATTCTATAGGGTGTTCAGGGGACACTCTGATAGGCGAGGTTTAAGAAGAAAGGCCCGTTAAGGGAGGCTGAGCGGCCACGCCGCTCCCTGTGGGCACAAGGCTGCCGGCAGAGCAGCCGCGAAGGCAGAGGCCAGGAGAGAGCGTTCCGATGTGACTCTGCCGGGTTTCCTTCCCTCTGTGCTCCCCCACTCCCACTTCCTCAGGCACCACCAGGGGCCCCACTGGGGAGCCACCAGCCCTCTCCTGGGCCTGCCTTGGCCAAGGGGTGTCCCATGGGAGGGAAGAAGGTAGTGGTGTCCATGTAGGAGGAGCTCCTCCCCTACACCTGCCCCAGGTGCAGGGACAGGGGCTGGGGAAGGAGGTGTGGTGGGGAGAGAGCTGAGGTGGGGTGTGACCTCGCCTGCCATCCACTGGCCTGGAGGTGTGCAAAGGGCCCCGCTGTGGGTCCTGCGTGGGCTCACCTCTTCCCCTGTCCAGGCTGCACCTTCCGCAGCGTCAGCTGGCGCTATCCATAGCGCTCTGCTCCTTGCGGTTCCTGGGCAGGGTGAGCGTGACACGTGGCCCTCTTCTAGCGGATGTGTCACCACCTCCACTTTACAAATGGGGACGCTGAGGCTCTGAAAGAGAGAGGCTGGCAGGGGCTTGTACACGGGTCTGGGGCGGGGGACTCCAGTGTGTGTGTGTGTGTGTGTGTGTGGAGCTAACAAACTCCCCTCTCCAAGGCTCCCCACTCCCATCCCTTCGCAGGTACCAAGTTCGCGTTCCTCTAGGCTATGAGCTCAGTGGCAGTGGAATGGCACCTGGGTCACAGAGGCCTGGTCCCTCCTCCCCTAGGGCACAGCTTTGGTGAGAGTGGCAGGT